CGGGGGCTCGCAGTGGCCGAGCTCCGGCGGTGGGCTGCGATGGGAGCCCGAGAGCTCACCCTCGCCCCGGGGGCCGGGAGTGTGTGGTTCGCGGGCTTTCCCAGCAAGTCACAGACCTCGCAAGTGGGGAGAAGTATGTGAGTCCGCCCCCGCGGCGGTCAGCGCCCTGGCTCGCCACGTAACCCAAAACCTTTTCCAGTGCTGAATTCTGCTTTATATGCCCAAATGCTGGGCAAGTGATCGGCATGTTTTGCTTATCGGGAAGGGGACGAAAGGGCAATCGCTTTTTTTTTTTTTCCCTGCCACGTCTGACATGGCCAAAGTCGAGCCCCGCCCCGTTCTGGTTTGAGGCTGCAGGTGCGTGCCAAACCGGGTAGGAGGCGTGTGTGTAGAAGAGGCGTGTTGTCTCCCCAGCAGCCTCTTCCCAAACCTCTGGAGAACACCCTTGAAGGACCCGCAAGCAGTCTGAGAGTGTAGCTCCTGCCTAGCATGCCCAAGGCCCTGGATTCTATTTCCACGTAACAAAAATGGATACATGAGCAATCTATCTACATCCGGGACCCCCCTGTGTTCATGGTGTTTAAGTAGGACTGGACATTTTTATACAGGCTGAGTATCCCAAGTTGCCAAATTCATAAACTTGTGCTTTCTGATCTGCTGTATCAACCAGACAGAATTGCCTGGGAGGAAAAAAAATAATAATAATGAAAAAGCACATATAAGCTCTATAATTTGCAAAATGCAGTCACAAATCCTATTTTTGGAAAGAAGTAAATTCTAAATAAGTAGAATCATTTAGAAATTCCACCACTAATGACGTAGGGCAGTTTTGAGGAAGACAATAAAGCTTATTATTTGACCTAATATGTACACACACAGCGACACATCTGCTGTCGAATTAGGCCAGAAAATGCACACATAACATCACATAACATAACATATGTATTTATATTCAACAGGAAAGTAATAGAACTGAAATCCTATTTATTAGAACCTAGAATTCCTTTTAGTAGCGCTATCTTCAGCTAACTGACCTCACTGAAGCTCAATGTCTTCATCTATATAAATGGAACAGCAATTCAGTTATTTATGAAAGCCCCAGGTCTTGGCCCGGAGAAAAACCTCTAATCGGCGACAGGGTCAGAAACACAACCAGGAAGACTATGCAAGCTATCCCCCACGTTCTGCCCAAGACACTCAGAGCATTCCAGGACAGCAGCGCTGTGGCCACACCTGTGACATTATGGATACTTCACAACCTGCATAGGCCTTGACTGTTTTGCTTTGATCCATAGCTGCTCCATGTACTCACGGAGCTCTCTCATAACTCTGTGGGCTTGTGATGGTTATATGCAGATATCTGCGGTGCCAGTCCAGATAGGACAAATTTCACAGTGCTATCTCCGGAGTCAGTCATCTACAGGCACTCGCCTCGCTTATCATTGTGGGTTGTCAGTTGCTCTGTTCACCCCTGATAAATGCACCATCATTACCTTTGACATCTATAATTCAAGCAAGCCAAGCAAGCCTACAGGAATACACTGGATGTCTCACTGTTCCTTCCTATTAGGCCTCTAGGAATGCATCACCAACTGCAAGAGTGTACTGAGATCATATGTAGTGACTATATTAAGGACAAAGTCTGGGATCTGCAAAGAGTTCAGAAAATACTTGTTGAATCTCAAAACGTACTTTTCTCGACCTCTCCCCGGAGACAGTCTCAGGTATCCCAGGCTGGCAACTAATTCATACAAGATTCACTGTAATACACACCCAGCTTGAATGTTAAAACTTTTAAACCAATTTAAAAAATGACTTTAGGAGAGAATATCAACTGAATGTTTTCTGAAATTTTTATGCAGTTTAATTTCTTTAGACAGTTCATTTCCTTTATTCACCTTAAATCCTAGTTTGGTGAATAAAGGAAACTAATGAAACTTCCTCAAAATTCTGTGTTTACTCTCTGGAGTCCTTCTGCACTCTTAATGTGGACATCAAGGCTAAGTTGTACTTTTAATGCTTTTGATCATAGAAACAGCTCAAGGGAAGTAAAAGTGTTTATTCATTTACTCTTAAAAAGAAAAAAATAGAGAAATTCCCTTAAATGCTGCAAATTTCCCTGATGAATTAGTTTCCCAAAAAAAATCCTTACACTTCTAAATAGAGCTGATTGTAAAATTGAGGCTGGAAACGACTTTGTTTTTAAAATAGCAAGGTAGCTCAGGAAAAAGTGTCCAAAAACTGCCTCGGTTCTCCTCTGACTATTGGAGAGATGGGGCCTAAATGGTACCACACATTCCGATCAGAAAGTTTTGGCTAGAGCTAGGAATATGGCTCCGAGGCAGAGCTCTTGCCTGGCATGTACAAGGCCCTGGGTTCATCTGCAGCACAGGAGTGGGAGAGAGGAGGGGAGGGGAGGAGGGGAGGG